TTGCAGATTAAAATAAGGGGAATACTTTAATCAAAAATTTTAGAAGTCGTTTTGGTCCTTTTTAAAAATATGTCCAAAATATTCCTTTAAAAGAAATGTGATATGTATCATAAAAAAACAATTTTTGTTAATAAAAAGCTATCTTTATTTCGGAAAAAAAATTATTACTTTTTCCCAATTCGCCACAAATGTTTTTATAATTTCACTCTACAATAGCCAGTCTAGGTTGTGGAAAATTCCAAGTTGATTGATGATAGTACTTTTTATTAGATCAAAAACCTAAAGGAATGCTGGGTTCTTAGGCTAAATTTTGTTAAGGCAATAGTAATGACAATGTACAATGTACACAGGGGCCCCTTTAGTTTGAGATATATTTCGCAATATTTAGAATGAGGATTGAGGGTGGATTACATCCGGAATCATTGTTAAAGACAATGGGTCGGTTCACTTTTGGGTAGTAGTCTTCTTGTAAGGATAACACCGATTTCCAGTATTTTTCACGTTTTTTTTTTTTTCATTTAATTTTTGGTTACTTTTCAAGGTAAACTTTTAAAACACCGATATAATACGATACACGGCTTTTCGCTTTTTAACTCTACTTGCATAATATGCTAGACTTTCCCCATAATTATTGAAAAAAATGAATTTTGTAGCACAGTGTAATGTAAACAAGTGAAAGCATGTTAAGTTTGGCTGATCATTAGGCAAAAAATAAAACAGTAAAGAAAGTCTTAAAGTCGGGAGGGGCTGACTTTATGATACCCTACACCACTTTGCTAATTAAGTAGAGCTCCACATAACAATTAAAAGTTTTTATGGGAGAATTCAATCATACACGCTATGATTATAATTATAATTTAAAGTTCAAAAGACTAAATATGCCGAAGCATTTGTATCATTTAAATTCGGACTTGTATTGCCCATTTTATATATATGGGAGCTATATGCAAATCTGAACCGATCTCGATAAAATTTGGCAAAGATATGTCTGAGCTGTATTTAATATATTTCCCTGAATATAGTTGTTACGGAGTGCAAATTACGGCTGTGGGTAACAAATATAACAAATCGGATGAACAATATATATGGGAGCTATAGCTATATGTGAACCGATCACCAAATTTGACATACTAGCTTCTAGACTCAATTCGGTCGTAAGTGCCAAATTTCATCTCATTTGGACAAATATTGGACGTTTGGTGTACAATAAAATCGGACGAAGTTATATATGGGAGATATATTCAAACCGAACCGATCTCGATAAAATTTGGCAAAGGTATTTCTGAGCTGTATTTGATATATTTTCCCAAACATTGTTGTTACAGAGTGCATATTACGGCTGCGGAGGACAAAAATGACAAATCGGATGAAAATTTATATGGGAGCTACAGCTATATCTGAACCGATTTCTATCAAATTTGGCATACTTATTCTTAGGCCTAATTTGGTTGTATGTGCAAAGTTCCATACTATTCGGGCTGATATTACACGTTTGGTGCACAATAAAAAGAAAATCGGACGAAGATATATATGGGAGCTATATCTAAATTTTTACGAATAATCTCTAATTTCAATAGGGTTCGTCCTTGGGCCAAACAAATGATTTGTGCAAAATTTGATCTGGATCGGGTTATAAATGCGAACTGTACTTTGTTCACAAAAATACATTGACAGACGGACGGACATGAATAAATCAACTCAGAATGTGATTCTATGCAGATCATCAAAAGGAACTATGGGTTTATCTCGTTTCCTTTTGCCTGTTACAAACAAATGCACAAAGACATAATACCCTGATCACCTTGTGGTGTAGGGTATAAAGAATGGTTTTTAATATTCAAACAAACTTAATTTTAAACTGCAAATGACAGCGTAGTCGGTTAGATAATTTGTTAAAAACTTCAAAATATCATGAAGGGGAAGCCAATTTTAAATAAGGATAGAGGTTGGTATCTATTGTCTCAAGTGCCAAATTTGAAACAATTACAGTAAAAATCATAAAAATTCACAATATTGGGAAGAACTGTTATGTGGGGGCTATAGAAAAATAATTAAATTTATTAAATTTGAAAAAATTCCGTTCAAAAATCTGGCTAAAATGTTTGAAACACTGAATACCTTAAAGTACTGTTAGGCTATAGGAAAACGTGGGACTATAAAGACAATGTTCTACCACAGGAGGAAGAACATATTAAGAACTCTTAATATAGTATTTGAATTATTCGGAATTTTGAATTAGTTAATATGGATTTAGCTATGTCATGCACTTTGTATCACCTCAGTTTTTCGTTGGGGAACCTATAGAGTATGTATTCTTTTCGATTAAATTTTGTCCATGTGCCCCTAAGGCCGCCATTTGAAATCACGATTGAGATAGCCATATTAAAGATCTGTCTTTGAAACTTTGCACGGCAATTTTATACCATTCCTAGGATGATTTATATTAAAAATCTCGATATAATTAAAATAAATGAAACGTTTACTATGCTTACAACTTAAGAACGGGTGGACTGATTTTGACAATGCACACCAATTCGTAATGGTCTCTTGGCAGAAAAGGATAAAATGTAAAATATCTATATATATATATATAAATCAATTGTTGTTTGTTGGTAACGGAATCAGTTGAAAACGGTTGGACCGATTTGCATAATTTTTTGTCATACCCCGAGTTAGGTTTTTGAAGAATAAAATATTGACCACACCTCCTTTTACGCCCACTATTACGATTTATCTGAAATCTTTATATTTGCCAAAATAGTGAAGATATCGGTTTGAGAATTATTACACGAGATGCTGTTGGCTTTCCATCCAACCCTAAGTACTTATTGAGGGGCTGAGGAAAGCGCCTACTTTTAAATCTATCTCTCTATATGTAAAATAAAGTTGTGTTAGTTACTACTCTTATAACATAAAGACCGCCGGTCTGATTTTAACGATTTAGACAAATTCGGAATTGCCTCTTGGCAGAAAAGAATAAAATCCAAAAAATCGCCTAAAAATGTGAAATTTGAACATTTTCATTTTGACTTTCAAAATGTACAATAGTAATGTTTTATATTGCATATTTTTCCATTTTGACTTACTATTTTCGAATGTACATTTGTACTGTTTTTTTTTTTTAATTGTAATATGATGTGTTGGTTTTTTTTGGGTAATATAAAGCCACAACGGATAAAACTGTTATTTATAGATTTTATGTATTTATTCGTAATACCCAATATATACATAAAATCTATAAATGAAAATTTTATCTGTTGTCGCTTTATACGAAAATTCTAGAATCGGGAAAAATCGACAATTTTTCAATAGAATCGAATTTCAAAATAATAGTACATTCTACCGACAAACTTAGTAATCACCTTTAAAAATTTGCCGCAAAAAAATCAGCGAACCAGTTGAAGATTCTTTTTCTATATTGAAGTGTACACTTTTTTATTGGTTTGAATTCTGAATGAATAATATTAAAAATGAAATGAGGGTGCAATACGATGTTAAATGCTTTCTACTCCAGGACCTACATCGTGCTTCAGCTGGAAGATGCGAACACATTTAAACAAACAAAAATGGCCGAAGAAGCGTTATGGGGTTAATTTCAAAAAGTGGACCTGCTTCTTTCATATGACAATAAATTGTCAAATGAAAACACAAAATGCAAAATACATTGGGACTGCAATCAGACAAATACCGACTATAAGAACGCAAAAATAGAAATTCTACATAAACATTCAAGATACCTTAAATCGCTTTGGCAGGTCATAATATGGATCATAACCCCCGATAACGGAACAACCCGATTTCAAGTATATTCTACATTTTAACCATATTTTTCGTACTGATTTTAGCTTATGTTGATAATTTAAGAAGAAACCATGTTTGCAAAAAATTATCACGTTTTGGTATCACCATCATATGATTTAAGGTATTTTCGGGGTCTTGGCTACTTTTTTTCATTTTTTGGCCCTTATTTGACATCTTTATTTCTAAGAGGGAAGAAAACCTCTTCTTATAAATTTTTATTTTTCGGAAAAGTGCGCATCTTAGTCTTGAGGCTACCTGGGGTAAAAAACCCTGGGATAGAAAATCATCTTACAGATAATTATCCACATAGGAATTTATTTAAGTATAGTCCTCACATTAGTATACCCCCAAGTCCACTTTCCCAATCAATGTGTGGTCAGAAAAGAAAATTTGGTATTCTATTGAATTTGTAACCCCCAAGAGAATATTGGTTGGGAACGTAGATTTGGGATTTACGTCTATATGAAATAAACTCCGAAATGTCAATCTGGGACTCATTCAGTCGGAAATTGTGGCAGAAACATGAAAAAAATACGAAATTATAAAGTAACTTTATTGGATCTCCGCCGCACAATTTAAATGACAAACAATTAATGCCCATCTTACGGTAATCGGAGCAAAAGAGTAATTTTTTTGGCTATTCTGACAACATTCTGCCTTCAAGTATGAGGTGAACAAAACTGAATACCACGCAGTACGGGATTTTAAACGTTGGAAATACAAATTTCAAATTATAGCTCATTTGAATGCTTTTTACAATATCAAAAATTGAGCTGAATTTTCACATGGGGCTATTATAGATGTTCTTTATCATATAGGTATTTAACACTCAAATTAAAGCCTATAGCTGAAAAATAAGATCAGGCTATTCAAAATATTTAAAATCGACGGTAATTATAATTTTTGCCATGAATATTAATTTTTATTTAGTCATGGAATCATTACTCATAATCAAGTCATTACTTATAATCAAAATTGGAGTAATTATAATGGCGTCATTGCTTATAATCAAAATTGTGCCACCTACATAAGTCAGATCTGTGATTTATTATGCTTTAAAGACTAAAAGTACGGGCCGGCAACGCGGACCGGGCCAGCTAGTATTTATATAATATTTTTGTTACATTTTGTTATATCGCATGCATTTTTTTCAATTTGACTTAATATATTGTTTTTTAATTCTATTTGGAACTTTGCAGAAAAAAAATTGTATACAAAACGATGATGGTTGTGACTCGACGCGGCTGCTAAAGTGTGGGTAAAGAATTTGAACAACCAAAAATATCCACTACCGATATAAGAAGCTTATAACAGAATATGGATCTGTATTGAAATAAATCTCAAAGACAACATTTCCATTCAATGCGAACACAAATTTAGTGAAATACTGAAATTCAAGAAGAGCCGTATCATGATGTGGAGCCATATCAAATAATGTTTTCTAAAATATTTATTCCGAGTTGGGTCAACCAGGTAAAAATTTCTTTTCCATGTTGAAAGTACGAAAATTGGCAGGGCACCAAAGTTGTGAGTGGAGTCTAGCCATTACCATACGATTGTCCCGTATTGTGGACATGATCAACAGTGTAAATCTAAAATTAAATTTCTTTCTGTCGGAAATTGTGGCACATAAATGGAGATTGCCTAAGGAGGCCGATACATCCAATATCAATTATCAGGCTGCACACTTACGAGTATTTTTCTTTGTAATTTAACATAAAATATAGCCTGCGAATACATTAATCTTGAAAAACAGTTCTCGCTTGGAATCACTTTAATTTACCTGTAGACATATTCTGTAACAACCTTACCCATTGTTTATTTTAAAAAAATATCTTTTTGTTCCGTTTTTGTTCAATAACAAATGAAATTTTAACAACTTTTCAATCGTTTAAAGTTCCGTGAAAGTGATTGTTCATGGGAGAAAAACGCGTGAATGTGAATATGAACCCATGAACGTCTTCCCACCCTATTGTGATTCTATTGTGAATCATTTTATTTTAGTTTATTCCTTCTCATTGTTTTCTCTTTCTATAATGAAAACAAAAACAAAACGTAGAAACTAGAGAAAACAATGAAAAAGAAGAAGATCATTTTTTTGGAGTTAGAGTTGAATTTGATTTTGTCATTCCGTTTGTTTTTTCCCAAGAGAACAGTAGTTCGACTTAATAAGAATAAATAAAAGTTATTAAAATAAAGCACAAGTGTTAGTTCTTTGGAATTGTGGGAAAATTATAGTGAATCGGTGCGAATAAACTAATAAATTAAAAGTAGTGAAATAAAGCGCCAACGAGAAATAATCATATTACAAATATTGCGTGCTATTTGCCCTTGCCCGAACAGTGGAACGTTCACTGCCTTCATCAACAGTGTGTGCTGAAACAGAACCTTGCCCAAAGGGGAAGACATCGTCACCGTGCTGCACCATCAAAGCGCGTCCTGCCAAAGTGTAAGTGGATCGAGTCGACCGGGGTACCTTGAACCGTGGTGGCCGACTCTGGAAACGTTGGTAAGCACCCCAACATCTGGTCCTTCTCAACCGGGAACAAAATCAAGAGCAAGAAATAGGGTATCCATTGGTCAAAGTAAGTACCACGCATGTTTTTCACGATAATTTGTCATTTGGAGACAAACGTATATTGGCCCTAAATTCGTGGACTTTCTTTGTAAAGAAATTGAGGTTACCTGTTGCATAATTGTGACAAACAAATTCCAAAGTATTCTAAGTTATTTTTTTAACTGGATACCGTTGGAGTATTTATCAAGCCTTGCCCTTTACATTCGTCTTTCGCTGGATGGTGTTGTTGTAGCGAACCGGCATTTTTTTGTATTGTTTGCCCTTCATCCATTTACACATTTGGTGGCTTGCTGTTTTTTTGTGGCGCTGAGTCTTTGTCTGTGTGTTGCTGTTAGACAGACAAAAGTTGTTCGTCCGTCAGACTCATTAGCGTGACATATCGACATACGCACATTTGGTGGCGCTTTGTTTATATGTGAAGGCTTGCCCTTTGCTAGGCTGTTGGTGATTTGCTGCTTGTGCGTTGTTGGCTCTGCTTATATGCATTTGCGCAGCCACTGTTGACATATTTTGGAGAGTCGCTGCTTGTGCGTGGTAGCTCTGCCTGGGCATTTGCGTCGCCACAGTTGTTTATACGTCGCTCTTGCTCTGCTTGGGTTTTTTTGTGTGTTTGTCTACTGCGGTTACGCTGACTCTGTTTGCATGATTTATACTTTCTCGTTGTATGAGCGTTCGTATTGCTATCGTCTATTTATTAACATTCATCGATTATTTTGTTTTGGTCTTGCCCTTTGGTGGATTTGCTTGCTCGAATTTTTTCTCGTTGTTGAGTGCTGAATTATAATTCTCATTAGGAGATAATTACAAGCATACAAGGCAAATATAAACAAAAGGAAAAGTAAAGCTTAGCTGTATATAAATTTGGACAACGACGTTTAATGGAATCTATGAGATTTTGGCGAAATTGAATGTCGTGAATGGAATAAGTGAAGGTTAATTGTTAAAATTACCTTGCACAATAAAAACATAAAGAACACAATTTTGTTATGGTGGATGAATTTTGCCCTTTTTGTATTTGACACAGTGGGTCAGAAATGAGAAATTGAAAAAGTGACTTGCTCATATATAAAAATGTATACCATTTAGATGCTACTGTGAAAAATAAGTTGGTAATTGGAATACCATTTGAAACGCTTATGGCTATTTCATTAAATAACTTTCTCGTTTGAAATATCGAAACAAAAGTACATTTTTTGGGTAAAAAATCTTTTTCGTTGATGATTGAAAATTTTTCGTGGATTTGTTGGCATTAACAAAAGTAAAATTACTTGCTCATTTGGAGACTAAGAGAATTTTTTGGAACACGTAGAAAATTAAACTTGTTCGCGCATACATACCATTTGGATAATTTAATACAGTACTATTCGAAAAGTGCTTATTCTGGGTTGTTGTTTTTGGAGACATTTTTGTCGCAACTAAAGTTACAACGGAATATTTGAATACTTTGAATAAATATCTTGCTCTATATGAATTATAATTTGCGCTGGGATTCTTGCTCATTTTTGCAATAAATATATTCCTCTTTGTTGGACGTAACTATCCCTTGGATTCTTGCTCGGTTTTTTAACAACAATATTTCGCTTTGCGTAACGTTCGATAATTTCTACAATTAAATTTGAACATTTGGGATTAAGCTTTCTCGAAGAAAATGGCCAGTATTGAAGACTTTTTAAATAAGTCTGAGGAAATTATTTCCTTTGAAGAAAATTTAAAAGAGACGGATGCGTCAGGGTTTAATGAGTCTGCCGTTGAAGTTGAGAAGTCAGAGCTCAGCAGTTTATGGGCAGAATGGAAGGAAACCCTGAAAGCGTGTACCTCCGATGCTGAGTGTAATAAGAAAAATAAGGAGGTTATAAAAACAAATAAAAAACTTGCCCACCAAAGTTACGTTAGATGTGTTAATATTTTGGGGGAATGGAAGGAAAAAGCAAAAGTGTTTCCCGTTACACAAAGAGTTTCTTCCTCTGTAGCAGTCCCGCCGTGTGATATGGAAGTGTTCCAAGGGGATTATGTTTCCTGGCCCAGTTTTCGTGACTTATTCACGGCGATTTTTATCAATAACAAAAAATTAAGCCCCGTTGAAAAGCTGTACCACTTATTCCAAAAAACAAGTGGAGAGGCAAGAGAGATAAATCGAAATATCCCATTGACGGCCGAAGGTTTCTCAATTGCTTGGGACAATTTGAGAAACCAGTATGATAATAAGAGAATTCTTATAAATACTCAATTGAGAAATTTATTTAATCTTGCTCATTGCGGGCAAGAATCGGCGAGTGGCCTTAAAAAATTGCAGCGGGAGGTTACTAATTGTATATCGGTCCTAGAGTTATATAAGATTGATGTAAAGTCTTGGGACCCTATATTTGTATATCATTGTTCTTCAAAAATGCCTAAACTCACTCTTTCTGTATGGGAACAGTCTCTGCCAAGTAAAACAGAAATGCCTCGTTGGGAGGACTTAAATAAATTTCTCACGGAGAGATTTCAGGCATTGGAAAGTGTGTCAGATATAACTTGCTCGAATGGAGCACAACCAGGATCTTCTCAATCTTCTCGCCCAAAGTACAGCCAATATGACAAATCGAAACAATTCAGAGTCCATCATACTAAGGTAAATGAGAACAAATGCAGTGTGTGCAAAGGGACACACCCCTTAAAATCTTGCCCGAAGTTCCTTAGTATGGATTTCAGGAAAAGATTAAATATTATTAAGAGAGAAAATCGTTGCCTCAATTGTATGGCGTTGGGTCATAAAGCGGTGGACTGTAGGGCTCCTGCTTGCTCAAAATGCAAAGGAAAGCATCATAACCTCCTTCATAAAAATACGATTGCCCAAGATAATAGCTCTAATGCGAATGCTTCTACAGATTTGTCTACGTCGTTGGCTGTGACTCCGAGTACATCGGCTGGTCCGATTACTTCTTCGAATACTCGCGCATTTCATACCTCGGTCACAAGTAGAACGATGCTTGCCACGGCTTGGGTAAATATTTTGAAGGATGGTGTTCCATATAAAGTACGTGCGCTAATAGATCCTTGCTCGGACGACACTTTTATTTCCGCTCGGGTGCAGAAGATGCTTAGGTTGCCCACAAGTTCGGTGTCTGCGGACATTTCCGGTTTGGGCGGTGAACATTTGACTAAATGTTCTAAGATAGCATCCGTCAGAATTGGATCGATGAAAAATAGGTCTTTCTCGTTGGACCTTGAGGCATTTGTGGTCCCTGAAATCACGGGGGATATTCCCACACATCCCTTGGGCAAAATTCGAATTGAAGAACTTCCGGATCTAGATTTTGCGGATCCAAAATTTTATCAAAGTAGTCCAGTAGACATCTTGCTCGGTGGGAACGTTTACCCTGTTATCTTGCTCAACGGAGTAAGGAAAAACGTACTTGGCTCGCTTTTGGCTCAAGAGACCGTATTTGGGTGGATATTAACCGGTCCGACAACTGATTTAGTCCATCTGAAGTCACTTAGCATCTCGCATTGCACTAGAGTATCAGTGCAAGACGAACTTTCGAAGTTCTGGGAAATTGAGGAGATTCCCAAAGTTCCGATTGTATCTGTAGATGACCAAAAATGCGAGGATATTTATCGAACTACGACGACCAGAGGCTCCGATGGGAGATATACGGTAAACTTGCCCTTTAAAGTCGATTACCCTTTCTCTTTGGCGTCAAAATCAAGCCGATATATTGCTCTGACTCAATTTTTGCGGAATGAGACATCGCTAATGAGAGATCCGAATCGAAAATCGGATTATGACAAAGTTATTCTTGAATATTTGTCTCTGGGTCATATGGAGAAAGTAGAAGGGTTTGTCAACTATCAAAATTGTTTTTACTTGCCCCATCATGGCGTATTTAAGCCCGAAAGCGTAACGACGAAGTTG